ATCCTGTATGCTCTAAATGCAACTCATCTTTATAATTTCTTATTTAATTTGAAAATATTTCAAAGAAATAATGAGAATTTCAAACTGATTACAAAATACTGAGCACTACTTTTATTTTGTAATGTGCGTTTATCTTTATCTCAGTTTTTTCATTAATTATCAAACTGTATTGGAAATTTAATGCTCTTTTTTTCTTCCCTAGCTACAAAACAAAACATAAAATTCTTGCCATTTTCAAATTTAGACTCTAAATTTTCTTCTTAAATAGTTTTTTTATTGTAAAAAAAATCTATTTTTCACTGATTTAGTCCAAAACTGACAAATGTTCACGTGTGAAACGGTTCTTTGAAAAAGAACTTCTTGGTTTCAAATGACTTATTTTTGTTGGATTGTAYATGTATCTGAACGTTAAGGACCAAGTAATGAAGAAAGTGATTTAATGTAAAAAAGACAGTTTTATTATTTTAATGTTTTAAAGGAGACGATGGAGGCGGGCTGCAGTTTGTTGGTGTAAAAATGAGTTTGTTTGAGATTTTCTTGTTTTGTTTTTGTTGTTTAATCAGGATCTGCTGCTGCGTGAACGTTCTGTCAACTCTCGATGTTRATTTAAAATCACTCCTCTCCTCCTCTGCTCACTCCCGGTTTGCTTTAGTGCCTTTTTTCTCTCAGACACTCTGAAATAAAAACAGTGATACCTCTGGAAGCAACGAGCTCAGCGTGAACTTTGTTCTCACCTCAAACACCAAGAAACACTGAGCTGCTGCGCTTTTATTCTGAAATCTGACTGAACATCAGAGGATTGGGTTCAGATCAGGAGAAATATGACCAACATTCTGTTACCTGGAGCCTGTAATATAAATATAAAGTAAAGAAATGACATCATACTGCTTCTTTTTTAGCTCTTAGTTTACTAATTTAGCTTGTGGGTCTTCTAATAAGTATTTGGGCCATTCTAAAAGTTTTAGCTTTTAGCTACTGATCTGATCATTTGAGCTACCGTTTTCCCATCTGTGGGCTTTGTCTATTTTGCTTGTTTTAGCTTTCAGCTGATGTATTAGCTTTCAGCTACTTTGTTTCATCTTTTTGCTTGTTTTAAAATTTTGGCCTCTACAGTTTTGCTGGTTTTAAATTTCAGCTACTTTCAGCTGATTATAGCATCTGTTGTAATAGTTTTAGCTTTCAGCTACTTTCAGCTGATTATAGCATCTGTTGTAAGTTTTAGCTTTTAGCTACTTTCAGCTGATTATAACATCTGTTCTAAGTTTTAGCTTTCAGCTACTTTCAGCTGATTATAGCATCTGTTGTAATAGTTTTAGCTTTCAGCTGATTGTCATGGTTTTAGTTTTAAGCTACTTTTTTGCTAGTTTAGGCTTTTTTCTACAGTTTTGCTGGTTAAGCTTTAAGCTGTTTTAGTTTTAGCTAGCRTTTTGCAAGTTTCAGCAGATAATTTTGCTGGTTTTAGCTACAGGTCTTGTCACATTAGCATTCAGGCACTTTCATGACGGTTTTTAGCTTTTAGCTACTGTTCTGAATTTAGCCTTCAGCTACCAGTTTGCTAGTTGTGATATTTCAGGCTACTAGCTACTGCTGTGATGTTAGCCTTCAGYTTGTTTTCAGCTACAGTTCTGCTAATTAGAGCTATCTTTTTGTCTGTTTTAGCTTTCGGCTAATGCTCTAGTTTTAGCTCTTAGTTGGTTTTATGTTTTGCTCTGATGGTTTTAACTGCAATAATTTGCTCTGAGCGTTCACAGAAAACCAAAAGTCAAGGATGATCAGAAACTTTATTGGACCCTGTTTTTAAAATTAATTTAACATTTTTACAGCAGCTCGTTTCTTTACGGATGTTAAAAAAATGTCACAAAAACCGAGCAGGTTCTGGTTCCTGTGGGTCAGAACCTGCTGCTTGGCTGACAGACGCCTCACCGAGGCCACGCCCCCCACGCCAGCCCCGGCAGGAAGAGGGCGATGAGGACGGAGGAGAACAGGTTGACGGCGTTGTTGTCCAGGATGGGTTTCCCGCAGATCCTCCGGGTCGTGGCCGACTCGTAGCTCACCACCTTCCCGATGCTCGAGTCGAATCCTGCGGACGGAGAGCCGCTCGGTGAAACCAGATAAAACAGGYTTTTGTATTTATTTATTTTTAATTCTGGTTTCGGTACTGACCCGAGTACTGCATGTGAGCTCCCAGGAAGGAGTCCAGCATGGAGCCCAGCAGGCCCGCCGCGCCGCCGTACAACACGATGGGCCACTGTGGATCGGCCAGGTGCAGGTCCCCCACCAGGAGGAGCTGAGTCACAAAGTAAGCCACGCCCACTGCTGCCCCGCCCAGGAAGCTGGCGACCAATCCGACGGGCGTGACGCCACCGTTTGTTCCTGCAGTTAAAACTTTTARCTTTTAATCCACAACAGTTAAAAATGTTTAATATTCACTTTTAGCTCCGCCTCTTAGCTCCGCAATTTCTAAAGCACAAATRAAATATTTAGGTCTGTAATTAGTGGATTAGAGCTTTAGCGGGCTGGTGCCCACCACTGCTGAAAAGGATGAAACGTCCTAGAAGGAAAACAAARCAAGGACTGGATCAGGACTTTTGCACCGAACCCACAGCTCACCTGTCGGGACTTCCTGCCAGGTGGTGATGAGTCTGGGCTCTGATTGGCTGAGGACGGGCCCCACCTCTGAGGCCCAGGTGTCCCCGGCGCAGCAGGCCAGCGCTCCCAGCAGAGACAGACACATCCAGGAGGCCGAGTACTGTTTCCCGAAGTCCACGGGGATCTCACCTGGACCCACCTGGACACAGAGCTCCGCCTTTACCCGCGCTCAGTTTGGCGCCGCCGCTCTGTTCGGGTTCTTACCTCGATCATGTAGAGCAGCGCCAGCTCCGTGGGGACGCCTCCRTTACAGAACACCTGGATCCAGTTCCTCTGACCCCCTGAGGAAGACCAGAACCAGGAGCGTTAACGTGGGTCTGACAGGACGCACGTGACGGCGGGTCCCCACGGCCACGCCCACCTTCTTTGTAATCRGCCTCGATTTTCTTCTTCCTGTCGGCGCCCCAGCGGGTCAGCTTGGTGGAGGTGAAGAAGAACATCAGCAGAGCGGAGAAGAAGCTGAAGTTGGCCATCGTCAAGACGAAGCCCACCAGGAGGGCTGAGGACAGACAGGAAGACGTTTCATTTCACAAGTCAGCAGATTTGATCTTATTTAGCTCAATGTGATCTGAGCAGAACATAATGTAACAGTTTAAAACTAAAATAATCTTACAAAGTCGATGTAATCATTATTAGTTATTGAACTGGTTAGCAGATATTAGCTTGTGGATCATACGTATATACAGAGTTTAGCTCTGCTGAATCATGCAACAATTTAACAAACTACTAAATATTACTTTGTCCTCTGATTAATATTTAGACCTACAGAGTGTAAAATAATATTATAAATGTTTCTGATTAATATTAAGACCTACAGAGTGTAAAATAATATTATAAATGTCTGATTAATATTTAGATCTACAGAGTGTAAAATAATATTATAAATGTCTGATTAGGGGTGGGCGAT